AGTAGAAGTTAGTAATTTTTGTAAAACTTATCTCTTCTGCACTCTGTAAAGAGTTTTTGAACTTGTTTTTGTAAGTTGTTTAGTTGTAAAGGTAGTTTCTCTTGCTTCTCAAAAAATTATCAAAAAAGGAAATTTTCTGAAAAATTGAGAATCAACGGAAAGAGTTTTTTTATATAGTTATTTTTTTCCCTCTATATAAGTTGCATAGTAAGGAATTGTATATATAGATTAATCATCCTATTCACTTATTTATTTTTCGACCTCACTTCTTCCTCTCTATTAAAATTTTTTTAGCATTAGTAGTCTTTTGCTAGTTCTCACTTTAGAGACAACAATATACCTGAGATTGATCAGTATATTCATATTGTTAGTTTTATAGGTTTATAATTATATTTTTAACATGTACTATATTGACATTTAAAAACTATAACCAATAAAGTAAAGGCTGAACTGATGTTAAAAAAAAAAAATTTATCCATATTTTCTTATTATCTATTATATAAATTACTTCAATTATATTTTATGTATATTAAATTAATTATTATTATTATCAAAAAACTCTTTTCATTGATTTTTTAATTGCATATAAAAAAGACATTCATAAGAAATTTTTATATTTTTAAGCTAATAAAGTCTTACCACTTTTCCTAAACCAACTTGAAGAAACTTTAAGAGCCATCAACTATCTTCTCTCCTCTTGCTTACTATCCTCTTCAAACAAAAACTTAATCTCTAATAACTATAAAGATCAAGAAACATCTTTCCTACCAATAGCAAAAAAGTTCTGAAAGGAAAAAGAACCAATGTACTGTCATCTCACACTATAAGAAACACTATAAAAGTATCTATGTGATGAGAAATAACTTTCCTACTCTCTTGTCACTTGTTACCTTCTCATAGTACTCGTTTTTGATTTTTTTTTGAGGAATTTTGCCTATCTCAGTTTGACCCTGAATTTTGAGAAGCACAAAGTTTTTTATACTGTAATTGAACAGATAGAGCTCACATTAGTAAAAGAAGTAAACAAGCTTCTATTAATCACTTTACGTATTCAAATGCATTTCCTCAGTTCCATAAGAACCTGAGGTTCACCATAAGTCAAAGTATCTTATATGAGTAAATAAAAAACATTGTGAACTCTATATCTTTGATTAAGTGAGAGAGAAAGAATATATCCTCCTTTCTTCTCTATTATGAAAGAAAAAGAAGGACTAGATTTAAAGAAATACAGAACAAGGATGGTGTCTTAAAAGTATTATGCCTATTTTTTATTAGCATGAATATTTTAAGATTAGAAAGATCTTAAGATTATTCGCACCTAATTAATAACACCAATATGCAGTCGAATGACCTCAGCTAGATAAAAAATATATCACAATGGGACATTAGACAAATGGTTCAATTTCTACAAATGATAAACTTTGGAAAAAACAGTATAATATTTATCAAGTTCAACAAGGCACATGTTAGAAATATCAAGATTTACATTTCTAGGCTGGAGTTATCACAATAATAAAGAAGGACAGATTGTTAAATAATGGGCCACTAACTATCCCAGTACCTATTTACTTTCCTTATATCCTAGAGCCCTTTGAAACTCCTGATTTATTATCATTCAAAAGAACATCGATAGAAGATTCTATACTGAATAGGGTATAGAAGAAAAAGATAAGAACTGGTAAACAAGATTATAATATAGAGATACTGAAAGTAGTAAAGGAACAGATACTGTGTCCTGAATTGATAAAGCTCTTGAAGAGTAATTAGTCCATAATATCAATATAGTAGTAATAGCATATCTTCAAGTCATCCATAATTAAACCATTTTCTCTTTTTCTTCCAGTATCTTTTTTGTAATACAAAATCTTCACTCCTGTTTAAATTTATATAGTTTTGGCTTCATTTTTCTTCTCTAAATAGAGATATCAGAGTAGGATAATAAACATAGCCCTCTCTTATCCATTCTTGGGTTAAGTTAGATAAACTAGATTTAATATTTATATTAATTCTCTCTTTTTAATTTTTTTTTGATTATTTTTAACTTATTTTTATTAAAAATAGATTAATTATTAGATTGTAAATTTTTTTATTCTAAATTTAATTTACTAGTTAAATAGATCTACTCTTTTTATTATTTTTTTTAACTTATTATTAAAAGTAATATAATCAAGTTAAAATAATTTTAACTAATTTTAGATCTTGATCTTCATATCACAATCTTTATATAGATTATATTATGGATTGATATTCTGTTTCTCTATTTGGATATTATGGATTACATTTAAAAATATTGAAATCATTTGATTAGATCAATAGATGCAAATCTTATCAATTTTAAATATTATTCTTTGAAGAATCTGAACTTATATTTTATAATCTAATTTATGGAGTGCTAACCATTGCACCATTGATCTATAGATCATAAAGACAAGTTATATTAATTTAAAAATATATATTATATTAATTAAAAAAAGCATATTATTAATAAAAAAAAACAAAGATTTTTTTCAAGTTATATAATAACAAAATGTAGTAAAAAATAAAATAATATCTTTAAATGCAAGATACTGTGTATCAATATAAACAATAGTTAAAATTACTTGACAAAATGGTTATAAATTTGGAAATTTGGTTTCGATATTGTTTTCTAGTAACAATACTTTGCTTATTATTCTCTCTTTTCAAAAATTTAAATAATAAGAATTATGATACAATCGAAAGGACGTGCTTACAATCTTTACGATTCGTGTCTTTTGATGTCGTGCTATCCAAAAGAAATTAAGTGAGTTGCATGATCGGTTTGCTTTCACGTTTTTGAATTGATTATCACTCACAAATTAAGTATACTCTATCATAAATGCATGCAGATGATGGTTGGAATTAAACTCATATGCACGTACTTAACGTACAAGATGTTATCTAAACAAACAGTTTAACCTGTAAACTCAAAAAGGAATTAAAAAAAACCAGATTTTTTTTATATGTTAGTAGTGCAAAAAATTTTTTGAGATGTATATAAGATGCTCAAAATCTCATCTCGAAAAGTTCTCATTACAGCACCGATTTCTTTGTACATTCCATTCTTTTATTAGACCGGGTAATCAGAAAAGGTAATAATAATAATAATAATAATAATAATAATTCAGCCATATGCTTCATATGCATGTCATCAAAACTTCAACCGAATATTAATGAATTAGATTCATTTTTCTCGCAACTTTTTATCACTTTAAAAATCAATTTCTCATCTAATTCATTCTTCCTGTTAACAGATGCGTGATGAGATTGATACTCAACGCCCAGGTAAAAAGTTTACATGGGAAGAGCTTTCCAAGCACAATACGCGTAATAGCGCCTATGTCGCCGTTCGTGGAAATGTCTACGATATCACAGATTTTATAGAACGTCATCCGGGTGGTGAGGATATTTTGTTATTCGCCGCAGGGAGGGATGTCACTCAGGTAATCAAGCATACAGTGCCCATGATGTGAAGTGCTACATTATATGCAAAAATTTTTTCTGACTTCCATTTGAAATAGGCATTTGAGACATATCACGAACTCGGGAAGCCTGATATCGTTCTTAAGTAAGAATTTCTTCGTTCTTTTCGGTGTTTCAATTATCTAATATTACATGACGCCGATTAGAAAATATTTCATCGGAACTCTCATATCCAATGAATTGCCGGTTTTCCCAGAAATAAGTGAATTTCACCGCACAGTAAAGAAGGTACAGTTTGATTTGTCACATTATATTTTTTAATTATTCTGTGATCTCTTCATTCAGTTCTTTATCTACATTTGTAGAGAGTCGAAGAATACTTCCGGAAAAACGAAATTGATCCAAAAGTAACATTTGAGTCTTTTTTCTACCAATAGTTTCCATTTATGGTTTACAAAGATGCAATTTGTCATCAACTTTACACTAGAACAGTCCAAGCATTTGGATCCGTTACGCCCTTATCTACGGAATGATATTGGGTTCTTATTATGCACAATTCTACCTACCATATGTTGTCGAGAGAACCTGGCTACAAATTATATTGGCAATTGTTCTGGGATTTTCATGTGCACAGGTAAAAGACGACCGTCATTGCAACTGAATTTAAATGCACATGAATTTTATTGTTATTTAATTTAACAGGTCGGATTAAATCAGTTGCACGATTCGTCTCATTTTTCAGGTAAATGGTTGAGGGGTTTTGCGAATAGCGACTAATAATAATTCCATTACTAATTGACAACGATAATATTTAAAAATTAGTAACAAATGATCCTTTCGTATGGAAGTTGCTGGGCGCCACTCATGATTTCCTAAATGGGTGTTCGTGAGTGTTTTTGCTTACTTAACATCAAATAATAAAATATACGTTATAGGCATTGACGCTCAATCCTCTTATTTAAAATAGCCATCTCGTATGGATGTATCAACACGGTCTTGGTCATCACATCTACACAAATATTGCCGGTAAACATTAATAAAAAAGGGTGTTATTTCGAATTTGCCATCGTATTGTTAAGCTATTACTTAAATTGATCTTGTGTAGGTGCCGATCCCGACATTTTTACAGGTAAGAAAAAAAAATTTTTTTTTTTGTTCTATTAGAGTTTTCTTATTATTAGAGCTTTGACAATTAATTAATTAATACACAAGGTGATCCGGACATCAGACGCATTAAGCCGACTCAAAGGTGGTACTCTCGATACGTGAATCAGCACACGTTTGTACCAATATTATACGGTTTATTGGCAATCAAAGTTCGTCTCCAGGACATAAACATCGTATACATAATTGGATCAAATGATAACATAAGGGTCAATCCTCTCACGCCATGGCATGCTTATGTTTTCTGGGGAGGAAAAGTAATGAAGAATCTATATATGATATTTTCTGATTCCTACCTTAAAGATACTGATCACAAAAATTTATAGGCGTTTTTCGTTGTTTACCGTATAGTCATTCCGATGTTATTCCTTCCCTTATGGAAGGTCATTATTCTATGTTCTATTGCTGATGCCGTCGCGTCGTATTGGTTATCAATTTCATTTCAAGCAAACCATGTAGTCGAAAGTGTTGAATGGTAAGTTATTGACGGTCTATTCCTCATTGGGTTTCAAAAGGCTAAATCTTCTTTATTATTACGTAAGGCCTCTTCCAGACGCAAATGGATTTATCAAAAAGGATTGGGCTGAGATGCAGGTGAGATTCCTAAATTTCCAAAAAATGCTGTATCACAGTTGTCATTCATGTTAATCACGTGGAATCCCTATATTACAAGATTGTAACAACACAAGATTATGCGCATGACTCTTATCTGTGGACTTCTATCGTCGGTGCATTAAATTTTCAAGCGGTGCACCATATTTTTCCACAGGTCTCACAACATCATTACTATGCGATTGCACCTATCGTTAAAGCAACATGTCAAGAGTTTGGCGTCCCATATTATTACAAGGTAATCTCATATTTTTTATACAACAAGAGTATTCTTACTGATTTATGTTTTATGCATTAATAGGAAACATTCTGGGATGCAGTTGAGTCTCATATAGAACATCTTAGACTATTAGGATCAAAGCCCAAGGATAATTAAATCGAATACCTCGCTTTCATTATATACAATATATATATATATAATGTCCAGGATAATCATCCATTACATATTTACAATGTATTACTATTGCAGTGTTATATTTATATGTAGATGTAGTGTATAATAAACTATGACATAATTTTTGTGTCTTTCGTGTTTTTATACATTTTTTGTTAAAGGACAAAAATTAGTGATGGGGTTCAAAATTCGTGTAACACTAATAAACGTCAAAAAGAATGTTCTCTGAAAATAGAAATGCCAATTGGATTGATTATTGATGTTTAACAAAAAATAAGGTGCAAATTTAATTAAATTGCTTACCTAATTTTACGTTGCTTATCTAACTCTAAAAAAACAATAACAGCAATCGGTATTAATTTGGCAATATTTTTCAAAGCGGACTCAAGTTTCGTATGTTTGAAAATATATATGGCATAATTACATGCAAGTTAAGAGATCTTGAATTTGTAATTTCAAATGTTATTACATAATTTTATTTTTAAAAAGTTAAATAAAATTCACTTATTAAATAAAAATATGGATTTCAAAAAAATATAACTAATAAAAGTTTTAGAATGCAATTCTTTCCTTTAAAAAAATAAAAACAGTAATAATTTGAAAGATATTCTTATAACAAATATAATAAATAAAATTAAAATATAGTCGTTTCAAAAGCCTTAGTCTATATGTTATATTTTTTATATTATAAATTTCAATTTTAACAAATTTTAAGTTTAAAAAAATTTTTTTTAAATATGAAATTATTTTTATTTTATTAATGTTTGTTTGATATACAATATATAATACAAATCAATTTTATAAACTATTTTTTATAAATTAACTAGCAAAAAAGTTTAAGCTATACTTTAAATTTAAATATTTGAGTTTTAAAAATTTATTATTATTATTTTTTTTGGGGGGGTGAAAAGTACTAATAGCACATGTTTATTAAGTAGTTAAACCAATTTTATGCCTATAACGGTCCATATAAGTTAATCTGCCCCCATCACCTATAGCCTTATCCAGTTAAACCAACTTTACACCCATTAGGTGGGTCTGTATTCCAGGTTAGATCTTTAGGAGGTGGAAATCCTATCATTAGTTTTAAACCACCTAACTTAATCTAGACCTTGGTATTTATCCCTTATCTAGAACCCACGATAACCTTCTATACTTTGTCACCTCTTAATCATATCTTTGGTTTATACAGCTGCAAATAGATCTAAATGCATCTATGTACTACCTAGTAAATGCTTCAAGAACTTTTATCCAATGGTTGACGCATGCTGCCAAACCTAGGGGTTATTCACCAATAGGGATGCAACTCCTGAATCTCCTAGTAGACTTATTCATCAGGTATTATTATTATTTTTTCTTAAAATTTTTTTTTTTTTTTTTTTTTTTTTTAAACCGCAACTGGTATTAGATGCAAGCTTTATTTAAGAATTAACTTAATTT